GCTACACAAGAACCGTTCACAGAATCGAACTACATTTTGTCCTGCAATTTTTTTCAACTATCCTTAATAATACCAAATTATCCCTATTTATAGCAGCCACCCTAAAGAGTGGCACATAGTGTGCAAGTTTGAAAAATAGGGTTGATAAATGATAGGAAAGAACATCTATTCTGGTTTTGGCTGTTTTGTATTGTGTTTAAGCTTTCAAACCTGCTTCATTTACAACAGGTGGCTCAGATGGATCACGTCTCTATGATTGTGTTTGGCGATACAACTCCAGTGTGAACGAGTGGACGGAGGTCTCCCCCATGCTGAAAGCCAGAGAGTACCACAGCTCCTGCGTCCTGAAGGGTCAACTCTATGTGGTAGCCTCTGACAGCACAGAGCGCTATGATCATACTCTAGACTGCTGGGAGACCCTTCCGCCCATGCCACATCCCATGGATAACTGTTCTACTACGGCGTGCAGGGGACGGCTCTATGCCATTGGCTCATTAACCGGAAAGGACACAATGGCAATTCAGTGCTACGATGCTGAAAGCAACCGTTGGTCACTAGTCAACAGTGGAGAACTGCCTCCATGGTCCTTTGCTCCCAAATCAATGACTCTAAATGGGTTGATCTACTTTGTAAGGTGAGGTACTCACTTTTTCCCCAAAATTTTAAAATATCCAGTAGCTAATGATATGCAGGAAAAAAAGAAACAATGAAGGAAGTGAGTTTTTCCATGTTTCTCATGACAAGGGTTGTGTTTCAGGGATGATTCAGCAGAAGTAGATGTCTACAACCCACAGAAAAACGAATGGGAAAAGATTAATCCCATGACACAAGTACGTACATTTTACCTTGTTTCGTTTTTTTTAAGGTGTGATCACATTTACCGTTGTTCAGTAAATTTTCAAAGGTCAAAATTTAGTAATTTTATGAGTAATCCACGCAATCTGGAATTTCTCTTGAGGGCAAAACATTTTTTCACACAGATTTTGCAAGTCACTGCATCACTTGACAATGGACCTTTTTTGCCTGTGAAATTTTGTGACCGCACCTTTACATATTCTGTACACAGGTCAATGACATATTACAAATTTTTACAAATATCATGAATTATTAATTTAAAGTTTTTGGGGAGTGGCACCTCATGACATTTTACAACCTGAACTGACCTTGTCATATAAAGGTCAAATTATCTGATATTTCATTCCAATCTCACAAGAAAATGTGACTATTTTACAAACTTTTTTATTTTAAGAAAAAAGTAAGCACCTCTAAATGTAACCATCACTGGGTCACAAGCAGATGCCAATAAGACCAATTCATAGAATTAACCACCAACTAAAAAAAACCAAAAAAAAAACATTCCATCATGAGGGTCTGTAGGAGTTTATATAATTTCCTGTTTTTTTTTTTTTTTTCCCTGCATATTTCTGCATGTTGGTTGGGCCATGATTTTTCTGGCAAGACCACATAACCTGGATTTGGCAGACAAAAGTTTTCAAATATAAAAAATAATTTAATTGTTAATTAATACAGTTTTGTATTTTTTTCTAAGAAATCATTTTATAAGACAAAAATATTATTAATAATAAAAGATTCAAACTTATCTAAGATTTTCTTTTCTTTTCATTTGCTTGGATTTAATGATTTTTTTGTGATACCAGGACAGTTGTATCACACTCCAAAAATATAAAAATTTGAATTCAAAAATTAAAAACATGATCATAAAACAGATGCATTTAAATCACTATATGGATGAGTTGCTTTTTAATTGTATTTTGAACAATTTAATAGGACAAAAAATGAGCATCACATCATTGACGCACATTAGGTGTTCACAGAGGTAACTAAAAAGTCTCACCTTCCACAGGTTCATGTTGGAGGCAGTGTAGCAGCTCTGGGCGGTCGACTCTATGTGTCCGGTGGCTATGACAACACTTTTGAGCTATCTGACGTGGTGGAGGTCTATGACCCCTCTACTCGATCTTGGACCCTAGCTGGCCGACTCCCCCAACCCACCTTCTGGCATGGAAGTGTCAGCATATTCCGACAGTTCATGCCTCTTGTTCCAAGCACCTTCGAACCCATCGACATACCTGAGGCCAACGCCATGCACCTCCACAGACACCACCGCAATCAGGCACTTCACAACCACAACAACAATGTCAATCAGAACCGCAACCAAGATGTCAATGAAGTGCACTGAGAACTTTACTAAACACGAGACTGAATGTCATTCAATGTGACATCGCTACTAGGTGTTTTGCACTTTATCACATATTCACCTCAACCGGGCAGCAAAGGGAGCTGGTGAATGGACAATCAATATTTGCATTATTTCTCCCAGTAACCCAGTGTTACTACAGATTTAATTGTTGCATGCATTTCTAATCCTGACTGTGTTTACCTTGAACAGAGACTTGAGTGAAGTGACTCATGAAATAGTGCCTATCATGTTTGGTGAATTTCAAGCAATGGAAATTGCATGAAGGTTATGCTAATTTTTCTTTTTAAATTAATTTTATAATTCAGCATGGACCTCCTGAAGTGATCCACAACAATGCAACTTCAAGCCAACATCCCAAAAAATATAATATCATATCATAACCTAATGTAAAGTAAAAAATTGCTATTTTCAAAAAATAAAATTGAGACCCCAATCATTCCAAAAAAGTGAAAGTTTGGATCACTTAAGACTGTAGATGCATGTTTGTAGCATGATTGGACAGAATTCTGCAATGTGGAAAACAAAAGGTATTTTATATACACAGAGAAGATACGGGAGAATCCAAGATTTTCCAAAAACACCATAGTTTTGACAGATAAACATAATAACTGTGTTCCAGCATAACCCATTGTTTATTGTTCATCTTGCTAGAATTACATATTTCAGACAATAGCGTGCATGCAGTGATCACATTTGTTTTGTGAATTTGTATCCGCCTTGCTTTTCAACTCTCATATTTTAATATTAAATTAAGTTTATGATTATCTAGTCATTGTTTATTTTAGAGGAAGGTATGTAACAGTTTATGAGAAACAGCTTGTGTTTATTAAGCTGTCTGCAGTCATTAAGAAAGCATGAGGAATAGATGAAGGTATTTTTATGCCAAATTGTATTCGAATGCTGTACTAATAACTGGAAGTAGTAATTCAGTATCTCGTTATTCTTGAGTAAATGTATGTGTTTGACAATAACAGTATGAAACTAATTATTTACGACACGCTTAAGCGGTACTTGACGTTGATTTTATTTTTCTTACAAAATGTTTTGTTTGTTTTTTGGCCTAAATCATTTGTACAATACAGACAAGGTGGTTTGTGTAATGTTTGTTTGGTCAACCAATAAATGACACACACACACACACACACACATATTTTACCTTTAAAGGTTTTGTTGCAGATGTGGCAAAAGTGTGGTCGACCTTCTTGGTGTTTGCTGGCTATGTGCCGTAGGAGAGGGCCTTTCTCAGTAAAGCGTTGCTCACAAAACTCACAACTATATGGCCGTTCTCCTGTATGCGTGCGGTGGTGTTTGTCCAGACTCGCTGCTCACACAATCAGCAAACATCTTGTTAATAATACAAAACTAATAGAGAAAATGCATTTATTCAGATTTGAAAAAGAACTGGAAATTAAAAAGGCCAGGGTTACCTTGTGTGCGAAATGTCTTGCCACAGAGGTGGCACTGGAAAGGTTTCTCTCCAGTATGTGTTCGAAGGTGCATGTTGAGATTAGCTTTCTGTGTAAAAGCATGATTGCAGAACTCACATACAAAAGGACGCTCATTTCTGGAAAGATGCGCAACAAATACAGCTCAGCACTAATCCACTCAGCCAACACAAACATTCAACATGAATTACACAGATAAACATCACAAAAAGGTTTCTTTCTTGTCCAGCTTTCTTTCGTTCACATTGTTTGTCTTTTCACCACATGCATGCATATTTCTAGCATTCGCTAACAGCCTCGCCTTTGAATAGCAGGCAGACATAATTAGCAATCAGTTTAAACAATAAATAAAGCATGTTTCAGTTCTTTGTTTCTTTATGGTAATATTTAATGATGTCCTATGTTTACCTGTGAATGGCTTTGATGTGCATTTGCAGGCTGTTGCGGCTGGAGGCCCGATGCCCGCACTCCTCACACACAAACAGTTTCTCACCACGATGTTTGGCTGCCTCGTGCAGACGTAGCTCAGTGCGGGACTGGAAGCACTTGGGACACAATGGACACTAAACGAGACACATGACAAATAATCCATTACACAACTTTTATCAGTGAAACATTACATTTAATCAGTAATACCTGATTTTGTGTTTAGTTTTCAATGGCAGGGCATTATGGTATTGCAGACAAGTTATTAGCATTAGAGTCACTTACTGCGTGTGGTTTGGGAGCTCCGTGAACTTTAATCATGTGGATCCTGAGGTCTTTCTTCTGCATGAACTGCTCAGGGCATGACGTGCACTAATATGACAAGTAAAATTGCATTGGCACAATGTTCGTTGACAAAAGGTCATATCTGACCTCCACAGTGGATTACGTACCTTATTGGGCATCTCTCCTGTGTGTGTGACCGTGTGAAGACGCAGCTCATGTCGCTTTTTAAAGGTCATGGTGCATTTCGAACACGAAAACACCTGGCACAAACCGAAAGTTGCATGAACTAAATACTAGTAATATAAAAGCTGTAATATAAAACCACCAAAAATGACACATTATTGTTATTTTATTGTATGTATGCATATTGTTAATTGTCTCCCGCTATCAAACTCACCACTTCTGCTCTGATAAGACAATTCCTGGCTTCATGCTCCAGCAGGTTTTCCTTCCTATAGTAGCACTTCCCACATTTAGCACATTCAAAGGGCTTCTCTCCTGTATGTCTCCTTGCAGACAGCAAGATGGAAGGAAAGACAGAATTTCGCATTGAGGCACGAACAATCATATTAATTGCTTATAAAAAAATACAAAAAATAATTCAATAGCAATTACAAAAAACAAAAAACAAACACCAGGCTCTTGACAGCCTCTATATATAACATTAATCTTATATATGTATATAATATTATTTACATAGAACCATACACTACTGTTCAAACGTTTGACATTAAATTGATCAAATGTGACAGCAAATACATTTATAATGTAACAAAACATTCTATTCCAATAAATGCTGTTCTTATGAATTTTCTATTCACCAGAGAATCCGGAAAAAAAAGTAAAGTATCACCATTTCCACAAAATGTTAATCTTATATATGTATATAATATTATTTACATAGAACCATACACTACTGTTCAAACGTTTGACATTAAATTGATCAAATGTGACAGCAAATACATTTATAATGTAACAAAACATTCTATTCCAAATAAATGCTGTTCTTATGAATTTTCTATTCACCAGAGAATCCGGAAAAAAAAGTAAAGTATCACCATTTCCACAAAATTATTTGTGATTATAGCAAATCAGCATATTAGAATGAAGACTGCAGTAACGGCTGCTGAAAATTCAGCTTTGCATCACAGGAATAAATTACATTTTAAAATGTATTAAAATAGAAACCAGTTATTTTAAACTGTAATATTATTTCACAGTTTTACTGTATTTTTTATCAACCAAATATAGCCTTGGTGAGCATAAGAAACTTTCAAAAACATTAAAAAAAACAACCCCAAACTTTTAAAAGGTAGTGTATACATATATTATTTTTAGATATATATTAAAACTTACATACAATATTATATAAACTGTAATATTATTTCACAGTTTTACTGTATTTTTTATCAACCAAATATAGCCTTGGTGAGCATAAGAAACTTTCAAAAACATTAAAAAAAAACAACCCCAAACTTTTAAAAGGTAGTGTATACATATATTATTTTTAGATATATATTAAAACTTACATACAATATTATAAATATGCTTAACAAAGAGGAACATACCTGTTGTGTACTTTCAGGTAGTACTTGCTGAGGAATGTTTTATGACATGTAGGACATTGGACAGATCCTTTCTTGCTGTCTTTAGATGTTCCTTCCCCATTCTCTTTATTGGTACTTCTTTTGTGTCGTTTGCACTTTCCCCGTGGAGTCTTTGAGGTTGAGCAAGGTGAATCACGAGGCACATACTCTTCATCGGTTCCCTCATTAAGAATATCCATACTGCCACCTCTGTCACTGTCATCATCATCATCTTCATTGTCGACATCATCATCATTTTGATTATCAACAGATCCATCCACCTGCTAACAGAGAATTAATAGAAAATGTACAACAGATTACAGGTAAAATCAAGAATTTTGATTTGGTATGAAATCCAACCAGGTCAAGAATTGTACACATAACGCATAATACACTATTATAGCAAATTTCATAATCAATGCATTCAATTTTCATTGTCAGACTAATGCATAGATAATTATTTGGAATTGAATAAATGTCTTCTGGTTGAAAATAGATGTACTGAGTACCTCAGTCTCACTCATGTCTTGATGTTTGAGGTGATCTCCGTCCTCAGTGGCAGCAGTCTCCTGCTCTTTGTCTTCTAGAGATGATGGTTTTCTTCTTCCTGCTCCCTGTCTTGTGACAGTAGACATGGGACTTTCCCCGATTAGTCGATTGGGCCCTTTTACACACCTTCCAGAACGTGTGGTTGTAGTCGACGTCGAGGCAGCAGGGTCATCATCGCTAACTGTGACCGCTGAACCTAACAGGAATGCATCGGGTTTATTTTTTGTCCTCAGCCAAGATCTAGTCTTTCCTTTCAGGGTGTGATCAGGCTGAGGGTCTGCAGATATGAGAGGGAATAGTTGTTTGGCTGTATCATCTTCACTCGAGACAGGTGACTGCAAAGTCTCTACACCTGGCAAACTCTGGCAAGGTATGAGAGAATCTGGCACTGATAGTCTGCTAGCTGCATTCTGAATCTTTTCTAAATTGCTGTCGTCTAACTGGAGTTCACCAGTATATAAAAAGTTAAGCAGTAGCTCTAGTCCATCATCAGGGCACTCTAATGGCAGGTCGATCTGAATACATGGTGTGTCTGAACTGGAGTCTTGGAACAAGTGGCTGAAGCAGGCAAGAACATTGCGATGGGCCAGATGCACCTGCCCACTGGCTGTGCTCAACATGGCATCACAGAAATGGCCAAGACCCCTCTGTTGGTTGAGCAAGGATAGCACCCGCTGAGCGTGAGAGGTCCCTTGAGCAGGTATCTCCATCTAGACAAGCAGGAGACATCAGTTTCATTTTATTAGTGATTTTATCTGAATTAAATTACAGATAAAGACAACACAACATACAACATAAATTAATAAATGTAGAAATGTAAATTAAATATTTAAATGATAAATATTAGATTTAAATTAATATAAACAATTAAAATGCAAATGATTTGTAATAATTGATGGATATTTATAATAATCAAAAATGCTCAAGCTCAGAATTATAATACATTTGTGTAAAATACAATAAGAAGTGTGTCTGTTCTGGTTTTATTACTATACTGTAATAGATTGTTGTAATACAAGCAAAGGTGTTTATTGCAATAGCTCACTTGCTTTGGTTTAGTTTGTTTTATGAACAGTCCACAGAAAATGTGTTTAAATTAAATATTAAAATGATAAATATTATATATTTAAATGATAAATAGTAAATTATATAAATGTTTCATTTACATTTTAAATAATTATTACTAATTTTGTTCATGGGTATTTATAAAATGTAAAAATGTTCATGCTCAGAATTATAATAAATTTGCGTAAAATACAAAAACGTGTATCTGTTCTGGTTTTACTATACTGTCATTAATAAATGTTTTATGCAACTTTAAATAATTATAGAAAATCATGAAATACTGCAATTATTGTACTACAAGCATAGGTGTTTATAGCAATAGTTTGCTTATTTTGGCATAGTTCAGTTTATTAAAAGTACACAGAATAATTCTGCACGTTTTCATTTAAATTAAATATTAAAATGAAAAATCTAAACATAAATAATTACAATTTTTCCTAAACTTTTACTAATTTTATTCATGGATATTTAAGATAATAAAAAAGTTCATACTAAGAATTCTAATAAATTTGTGTAAAATACAATAAAAAAGCGTCTGTTCTGGTTTTATTATTATACTGTCATTATTTATAAATGTTTCGTTAAGACATCATGTTTGTAGAGGTCGTACAACTTAATTGTTGAAAATCATTATTATACTACAAGCACAGTTGGGTATTGCAAGCACTTGCTTATTTTGGCGCAGTTAATTTGATAAAACAGTGCACTGAATAATTCTGCACGTTTTCATCCATGCATGCTCAAGAAAGTTTTCCCAAACGATGCGGATGACTTTGACGGGTCAACGACTACTTGATCAATTACAATGACCTAAACGTTAACCACGATGTCCGCATTTTAATGACGCTCCCTAAACTACTCGCCGCACAATCGACCGTTTACGACTCACCTTTAGCGTAAATTAAATCATTGCTCTCATCTTTCCTTTCATATACTGAAAGCCCACATATATGCGTTATGTAACTTACTGAGTAAATCATATATTATACAGCGTCAACAGCTTAATTTAGGCTAAAGAACAAGAAGCCATGTTGAAACAGAAACAGGAAGTGACGTTGAAATATTGTTGGCACTCTCCGGTAGCTGGCCGTTCATCCCATTACGCTGGGAGAGAATTTCTTCAAATATGAACTGATTGAATAATTTAGCTCTTATAATCAATTGCACATGAATTCTTCAAATTTATAACATTTTTTTGAACGTTATGGTAAAGTATTTTATAGTGAAGTGGATTTATTCAGCATGGTAGTATAGAATCAAAGCTCCTTCGATCTCCGTAACATCTGTTATTGTCCATCACATGGCACATACGCTGCACAGAATTGCTTCCGTTATCCAGAGAGTCGCATATTCGACATGTGTTACGCTTCTTCCTCGTCTCGCCCATATTTACGCTTTCATTATACAGTGACAGTGCGGTCTTAAAGCAGATCAAAAGGGGGAAATGAGCAGCTTCGTCTCGTTTAGTGGAGTGGAACTACAAACAGCACCGTGCCGCGTGAATTAATGCTCAAAAGCCACTGCCAGTTACATGGAAACAACAGCATATTCACACAAACTCGATTTTTTTTAACGTGTTTAACGTTTCTGATTTGATTCGAATCTGTTAGAAGTATTACCGGTTACAGCGGCTTCTCACTTTAAACAGGTAACGTTAACTACGTGAACTAACGGCAGCCATTAAATTGGCTTTCAGTATCTTTTCGCAACAACATATGCTCTTACTAGTGATTGGTAATAATGTATGATACAATTATTTTACACAATATTTTACTAACTGCATAAAGTAAGCCAACAGGTAGGAACAAAGCTATTATGTTAACTTGACCAAGCCAACTTAATGATATTCTGTTGAAACTTTTCGTTATTCTGTCTGTCTGTCTGTCTGTCTGTCTGTCTGTCTCCATCCACTTTTAGGTTTCTTATGCATTTCATAGACTAAATCTATTCAGTAACTCCAGATGTTCTGATGCTGTCATCACTGTATGTCTTCATTCACAGGTGTCTCCCTGCCCTGGATTTATGACGTTTTTAGCCTGGTTGGAGTTCATTGGATGACAATGAAAGTACACAAGGTTTCTTCTCGGTCCCAACACCAGCAGCGAAACGCTACCAAGCGCCATGGCAAGAATAAATGGCGCAAAAAGATACACAGTCTGGACTCAACTCTCCTAAGTACAAGTGTTGGGACTGCAAATTTGGAGCAACCGGTACCCAAAAGGGAGAAACCCACATTGAAACTTTTGAAGAAGTTGTATACAAAGCCTATCCCTGAAAATAGCTGTGCCGAGGAGAGAAAGGTTAAGGCCACTTCTGTGGCTTTTGCTCATGTCCACACAAATGGAGGCACAGAACTGGATGACCGCAGCAATTCAGTGGACTCTCAAGAATGGAGTGAATATGCCAAATGTGTTCTTCAGAATGGAATGGAGAGTTCAACCTTACCTAAAACAAACCAGATGGAGGAGGATGGTCTTCATTTTCATGCCCACTTTGACCACACCCACAATCGTGCTGTTTTAGTCATGAAACAAGGCCAGGTAGACTGCTAATCTCAACTATACACTTTTAAATGCTATGATGTTTTATTAACATTTATAATTAATAATATAGTGAATATTAGCACTTCTGTCACTTAATCAACTTACAGAAACTAGTGATGGAGGACCAATATACTGGCCAGCAGTATATTGGTCCTCCATCACTAGTTTCTGTAAGTTGACTGACTTTTGTGTCTGATATTTGTGCAGGTCTTGTGTTTCCGTGGGAAGTGCCTGCTCACTTGCCTCTATGGTCATGTAGAAGTGCTGGGCTTCACCATAGAGGAGGGCCAACAACCTTACCCCCTGTTCTCACCACCGTCCCACTGCCCTCTCACCATCACTGCCTTAGGAAACAACGCCCCCTCCGGCAAAAACAAGAAAGAGGGGCTGCTGGAAGCAAAAGCCATTGTTCGCAAATATCTCTCTTCAGGTAGCATCAGAAGGAGTGTCCTTCCTCCTAAATACCTTTATATCATTTTTATATAGTTTTCTCACCATTATATCTTCCATTAAGGAAAGACATTGCGGGTGAATAGGGTAAAAATTTAATTAATAGATATCACCATACTTTCCTAGTTGACTGATTACATTATTAATTACAAACATTTTTTTATTACAACTTTGCTGAAATGTCATGTATAAATATACATTTATACATTGTTCATTTATTCAATTTGCATACATTTTCAGAACAGTGGATGAAGCCAGGTTCAAAATTCTTATTTCATTTTGTTGGTTTTTACGGGGTTTTGGGGGGGGGGGGGGGGATTAACAGCCAGGAAAAAAAATAACATTTGTATAAAATCAGGCAAATTATATATGAACAAACCCCTCTGTAATATCAGCAAAATATAGATAGGAATAAAACTGAAAAGTTTAGTGTATGTAAGAAAAAACTCATGCACTTTAAAGGAATAGTTCACCCAAAAATGAAAATTAGCTGAAAATGTACTCACTTTCAGGCAGTCCAAGATGTAGATGAGTTTGTTTCTTCATCAGTACAGATTTGGAGAAATTGAACATTACATCACTTCCTCACCAATGGGTCCACTGCAGTGAATGGGTGAAGTCAGAATGAGAGTTTAAACAGCTGATAAAAACATCACAATCCACAAGTAATCCAAATGACTCCAGTCCATCAATTAACAACTTGTGAAGTGAAAAGCTAAGTGTTTGTAATAAACCCATCATTAAGATGTTTTTAACTTCAAACCATTGCTTCCAGCTAAAATACTCTACCCATAATATTGCTTCCTCCTGTGAGAATTTTTTTAATTTATTATTTATTTATTTTTTTAATTGATTTTATTTTACTTGTGGGTTATTTTGACCTTTTTATCAGCTGTTTCATTCTGACGGCACCCATTCACTGCAGAGGATCTGTTGGTGAGCAAGTGATGTAATGCTAAATTTCTCCAAATTCTCCAAACATGTTCGGATAAAGAAACAAACTCATCTACAAATAAACACCTAAACATGTATTTTGGAAACACAAAAAGCCAAATAGCCCAAAATTGACCAGTGCAGTTTTTGTATTTAGTGTCTTGCCTTAAATTAATTTCTACCTGCACTAAAGTTCTTTTTTGCACTTGCGTCCTAATGTTCTGTTGCAATTTGTGTTTTTATGTCTAGAGCCGAGTAAAAAGCTCATGAGTGAGCTGGACTCTGACTCATGTGTGGTGCTTCTGGAGCCTCTGGACACGCCACTCACCCGCTTTCTCACCAGCTTCTCAGAACTCTCAGAGATCTTTGGCCTCAACTCGGTAAGCTGGTGACATTTCAGATTTTGTATGTTCATGTTTAAAGTAGCTGATATGTTTATGGTTTGTGATGTTCAAATACATTCTCAGTTTAATATGCAGTGGCAATAATAAGTAAGCCACTTGTAGGAAGAATGTAAACACTGTGACACTTTTGACATTGTTTGTTTGAGCATCCTGGCATAGCAACATAGATATATTTGTGTCTGTGTTTATGCGTCTTGCAGAAGGAGCTGAAGTCTCAGGCTGCCATCTATAACCCTGTTCTGTCAGCTGTCGGTGTAACAGCTCTGCGTGGACCTTGTGCACAGGGTCTGGTGATGTCACGTAGCTACAGAGAAGCTATAAGCAGTTTGCTCAGTGCCTGGGCAGGTAAATGTTAACGGTTTTATTTTCCTTATTATTTTGAAGGAATATTTAAAGGGATAGTTCACCCAAAAATAAAAATCGTTATAATTTACTCTCCCTCATGTCATTCCACACCTGTATAATTTAGGGGTATAACGATCCCTCAATATGGATCGACACATCAAATCTCTAATGTGTATCTAATCTCTATATGATGTATCGATGCAAGACGTAAAAATTCGTAACCTTGTAGTATAAATAGGCACCTTTATTTTGACACTGTCCATATTTTCATGCAATGTCTGTCTACACGAATACTTAAGAGCTCTTTTTCGCTTCTTTTTGTGCCTGGACGAGCAAATACAGACAAAATTACATCAAAATGCACATTTTGGTGATTATCCTAGTAAACACAGTCGGTTAGGCATATGTCTTAATGTAAACAGTTTAGAAAGAAAACGCATGTGTATCAGTATATTGGATCCGTGCTTTCGGTCTTAAAGTGACAGCAGACTAATAGCAAACCTGCTTCTGTCAAAGAAAAATATCTCACTGCTCTTGACCAAATAAATTTGATAACATTTATAATGATTAATCTATATAGTGAAGACTATGAAGTATTATTTTACATTTGATTATTAAATTTCTGTACCAGAAAATTTATTTTAGACCTACCTGAAAAGCACTATTTATTTAATTTGTGTCTTCTGTTGTGTGTTCTATTGTATGAATTTTATGCTATTGCTTGTAATTTGGTTACCTGTAGTAAAGATTCTTAGCACTGAGTAGGGTTGGGCCGATAGACGATGCCATCATCCGTCGCCGATGGCTGATAGACAATACTATGTTGAGCCGGCATCGTGATCCCCCAACCCCCCCTATATACTAATATATATGTAGTATAATTGGGTAATTATACTACATATATATTTCGGCATCAGGGAGCCGCTATTATACCTGGCATTGAAGCTTTTGAATGCACGATCGCTTTTAGTTTCACTTTCGAGATTCACGATCGCACGTACTCTGTGTATACTATGGAGTGGCAGTACTTGCCACACATTTTACAAGATTATGTGTTTGTCAGTGGTACTGAGGATCTGCAAATCATTCGCATTCGTCCTCAATCATCTCTCCTTACTCTGTTTATGTGGTAAGTGAAATTTTATGTACTGTAGGATGTAACAGGCAACCGTTACACCGTGTCTACACCAGACGCAACAGTTGTCGTGTCGCACCACATCAGCTAGTCGGTCTAAATTGGACGCAACAAAGCGACTGTTGAAAATCATTTGAAATGTGTCAGCACGCCATAAATAGAACGCGGCAGCAGTTTACTGTCAGGGTTTTGTCGTGTCACGCCGCATCCAGTGTAGACAGCATCACTGAGTTC